GGTCATCGCGCGCTCAGACCCGCGGGGTTTCATCATTAAACTCAATTCTGTGAACCAACAAGTTCCTGCTGCTGAGAGGTCAATTCGAGGCGGACTCGGACTGGTCCTGTTCTCTGGTTCCGTCCAGCCTGCAGTGCTTTCCTCCCCGATGCAAGCTGATAAAAATACTTCATTTACAAATTCAGCGTTGAGTCACGGAAATAAACGCAGCCGATGTTCATCGGTCCGCTTCCACTTTCTAATAAATAACCCATGTGGGAGAAAAAGGGCCCGTTCACGGAGGCATGCGCTTTCTTTAGGAGCCGCTCTAAACACCTAATCAACAACTTGTTTTACCTCTTCATTTCCATCGCTAATGATTTTCTAATGCAGTCTCGGCGTAACCGAGCGCGCATTCAACGGGAATCATTAACTTGGCGCAGAGGAAGCTGCGCAACCACGCGCGGCTGCAATGTCAAACTGCAGGACGCACTCAGAGGACACACTCCTGAAGGGCCGTATGGTCCAAGCCCCACAGCTAATGAGAGGCCCTGAACGTCCAGATTAAATGAAGCATCTAGTTAATTTGAGCAAGAAAATCTTTGGTTTGGGCCTCGTGAAGCTGGAGGTCGGGAGGGAAAACCCCTGCATGAATGAGTGAATGGATGAGTGAGGGCAAACTTTAGTTCAACGCTTCAAAGCATATGAGTCCTGATCAGAGGTCAGCTTTGAGAACCTGACACCAGTCTGAAACAACTTTCTCCCTGCCGACGGGACTCTGATGTATGTGTGATCAGCAGGTAGAGGTGAGCAACATCAGCTCTGGTCCAATCAGATTTCTCCCTGCGCTGAGTGAAGACGCCTGCCAGGTCTGGAGACGCGTTGCTCCGTGCACACTTGTGCGGAGGGCCCTTCTGGGAGCGCAGACTATCAGGGCGACTTGCAGCACTGTTGAGTTTTGTAGCCGCATCTTCAGCTCGTCGTGAACCCCTCCCTCCTCCGCCCACCCACCCACCAACCAGAACCCCATCTTCAGTCATGAAGCAGCTCTGAGCGCGGAGACTTCATGCCAACAGGAGGAGGCGGAAGACTGCAGGGTTTGATTTCTGTTCAGGATGTTTTCATCCGCGGGGAAACGCTGCTTCACCATTGAGTCTCTGGTGGCTAAAGAGAGCCCGCTGACCCCCGAGGAGCCCATCCGCCCCACGGCTCTCACCTACTCCAACCCCACCACAGATGCCTTGATGAACGGCTACCAGGCTCCACCGACCCGGTCCCTGTACCAGAACCCGGACCTGGTGTTCCCGGAGACGGTCAACCACCCGTCTCTCGCCGTGGCTCCGCACCAGCTCGGAGGATCCCACCTGCAGCACCCACACTTCTTCGGCACGCAGCACCGGGATCCGCTCAACTTCTACCCTTGGGTCCTACGGAACCGGTTCTTTGGACACAGATTTCAAGGTACGTCAAGAACGGGACAGCCTGATCAGATGTGTTATTATGGGATGGTCTGTGTGAAAGACGAAGTTATACCTCGGTTGCTTGAAGTGCTGGAAGAGGAGGAATAAAATAAAATAAAATAAAATAACATAAAATAAAATAAAATAAAAATAAAATAATTAAATAAAATAAAATAAATAACATAAAATAAAATTAAATAAATAAATAAAATAAAATACACGTTTCTTGCAGCTGCACACTTGTGTTTTACCCATAATAGGAAAGGAAAAACACTAATTGAATATATTCCTTTTCTACTGAACATGATACGTTTAAACAAACGTACCTAAAATATCCACCAATAGTCCAAAGAGGTGAAAAGCTCACAACATGCAGTAACATTCTTGTAAACAAGCGTCCTGCATGAGAGAAATGGCGTCTAATTTTCTAAATTTAAAAAAGCCTGTTTTTGCTTTTGAATTGTCTGAAAATAATGAAGCTTTTAGTGAAATAAAAATAGGCAAACGGCGTCCAATTTTCTAAACAAACAAAAGCTTTTTAAAATAATCTGAAAACAATGAAGCTTTTGTTAAAATAAAAATATACAAAATGGTAAAATCAAAAAACAAAACATCCTAAAATTATTCTAATTTGTCATCGATATTTTAGATGAGTGTTTAATTAATTTAGCTGATTATAAAACATTTTTATAACAACTCGAGACAAAAAAGAAAACAGAAAATTAAGTAAACATGTTTCATGGATAAAAATAACAATATTTCACCAAACCAGTTTACAAATTTCCTAATAAGTTGAAGAGGAGCAGGTCTGTGACAAAATACAGCAAAAAGTAAATATTTAATAAACAAGTAATACGTAAATGCGGATTTCTGCCATGGAGAAAATAAAATAAAAATAAATGCAATTAAAATAAATTCACTATTCACATTCCAGAAAAATATACCAACAAATATTTTAAAACTATTTAACGAATTGACAAACTTGCATTTATATCGTTAGTTCAATCACAGCGTGAGCGCGCACGCGCACTTTTGTACACTTTATTCTTAGGAAAGTGAAGTTTTCAAATTAGAAAATGAACATGCTTCAAGTAGAAAGTAAAATTCTAAAATAAAATCAATCTGCTTTAGTCCAACCTGATCCACATCTGATGATTACATCAAAGAACACGCGCTTTATTTACGTATAAATAAACAGATATGACGTAAGCTCTGTGGGTGCGCTGGTCCGTTCTGGTTCTGGATCACAATTCAAACCCAACAGCAGGTTTTAATGTTGTGGTCTGACCCGCTGCAGGTACCGACGTGTCCCAGGACAGCCTGCTCCTCCACGGACCGTTCGCCAGGAAACCCAAACGCATCCGGACGGCCTTCTCGCCCTCGCAGCTCCTCCGACTGGAGAGAGCCTTTGAGAAGAACCACTACGTGGTGGGTGCCGAGCGGAAGCAGCTGGCCAACAGTCTGAGTTTATCAGAGACGCAGGTGAGCTTTTTGGTGCGTTTTACCTAAACGGCCGCGCGTCCTCGTGACGCGCTTTACTCTCCCTTTATTTATTTATAGGCCAAAATAAGCGGATTAAGACCCACAGCATCCACAATAATAAACACAAATTCATTCAAACTATAAAAATGAAAACAGTTAAAACAGATATTTTTATTTTAAGGCTTCATGTGATACTGCAATAAATTAGGTCATAATGAATCATTTCTGCTGATGTCTCAGCAAACAGAGCAGGTGCGCCACCAGGTAGGTCAGACTCAGCTCTGGGAACCCCCCCCACCCCCCCCCCACCCCACCCCCACCCCAGCAGGAATCAACCCAGACTTGGAAGACCTGAGGTGTGTTAGTCCAGTTCAAATGCTTCACTGTGAAAAGTGTTTTAGTTTGGACCCTTTACTCATAAATTATATTATAAATAAATAAAAATTCTAAAGATCGGTGTTGCTGTTTTAGTTGTTCTGCTGATTTTCAGTGTGTGTTTTATATTTGTAATTGTTTACTGGCTCTGTGCACACTTGTGCCGATAACAAATAATAATAATAATAATAATAATAATAATAATAATAATAATAATAATAATAATAATAACAACATGTATTTGTCTAATCGGAATTAAAATATTAATTATGAGGTCTTCTGAACAATAATGAGATTATAAATTAAATGGAAGCAGTGGCCATACTGGTTGCTAATTCTGGCTGGGTTCAACTGGTAGCTTTGGGCTGTTCCTTCAACATTTTTATTATTATCATTTATTTAGGGGACAGCAGTAGCTCAGGAGGTAGAGCGGGTTGTTCAGTAAGGTTCGAAGATCCCACCAGAGAATGCTGCTGTTGTGTCTTTGGGCAACCTCCCTTCCCTCTCTGGTGGTGGTCAGAGGGACTGGTAGCAGGCCTGGCCTCTGTCAGAGTGCTCCAGGGCAGCTGTGGCTACACTGTGGCTTATCCCCACTAGTGTGTGAATGTGTGTGTGAATGACTGATTGTGTTATGAAGCACCTTTGGGGGTTGTAGAACTCTAAGGCGCTATAAAATACAGGCCATTTACCATTTTCAATTTAAAAACAATAGCTCTATGCGTCCAACTCAATTTGGGAAACACAAACAAAAGACAAATTTCAGTTTGACAAATTTTATTGTCAGTTTCAACAATAATATTCACAAAAACCTTTTTGGGATTTTTACTTAGAAATGATGATCCTGTGACATGATAAACGATAAATGACCCGCCCTTGTATAGCGCCTCTCAGAGTAAGGACTCCAAAGCACTTTACACCAAAGTGTAGCGTTCATCCATTCACACACACATCCACACACTGATGGTGATGAGCTACAATGTAGCCACAGCTGCTCTGTGGCGCACTGACATACCTTTTATTCAAATTGTGATTGATAAAATTAATGGTCTATGGTTATTTCTAGATCAGAGGAGATGAATGTATGATTGTGAGAACATGAATGTAATTCATTAAGGTGGGTGAGGGTCTTCCCTGGGGGTGAGCAATGGAGTGATTAACAATTTTCTAGGGGTGGTTATGCGTCCCCCGTCCCGTCTCGTCCCGGCACCAACTGAATGGAGGCTCACGGATGTTCTGTCTCACTGGGTTCCAGGTGAAGGTGTGGTTCCAGAACAGGAGGACTAAGTACAAGCGGCAGAAGCTGGAGGAGGAGGGTCCTGAGAGCCAGCAGAAGAAGAAAGGAAACCACCACATCAACAGATGGCGCCTCGCTACCAAGCAGGCAAGCTCTGAGGACATAGATGTGACCTCAGAGGACTGAATGCTCCCTAAAACCTCTGTCCCTATTGGACGCATCGGAGGACCAACACTATTTATTGTGTAACATTATTCTGTGCAATTAGACACATTAGAGGAAGACTGAAGGACTCGACATCTGATCATGCTTTCATGGAGGTCCCCCAGAATGGACGTGTCTTCTGATGTCCATCTTGAACATCTGTGGACAGGAAGTGGTCCTCACATTATGTCATGATCTCTGGTTTGAGCCAGAGAAGAAGAGAAAAGTCAACTTCTATCAAGGTGCTTTTGATTTTTCCCTGTACATTAGTCTGTGATGAAGGTTGTTTTGTTCTTCACCTCCTGCTGACACACACACACACACACACACACACACACACACACACACACACACACACACACACACACACACACACACACACACACACACACACACACACACACACACACACACACACGTGAGCTACACTCATTTAAACCTTTCACAGAAGAGAGTGTGTTGACTCGTGTCTGAGTGACTCTGCTGTGACTGGACTGAAGGAAACAGGAAAGGACCAGAACCTGTCACTCTCTGCACAGCTTTATTTTAATGATCTGAGCACCGTTGGAGGACCTAATAGAGCTCCAGAGGAATATTGTTTTCTTAGAGCGGAGACCCGAGAGCAGCTGTGCGTGAATCCGGCTGTAGATGCTGGTGTTGGAGGCAAGTTGAGTCACATTTCAACAGCACGCCTCTGCTGCTGGATTCGTTGTGCAGGTGATGGACGATGTGTGTTTGTTGCTTATTATTTTAAGCACCAAGTGTGGAATAAAATATATAAGAACCAAGCCCCCACAATGCGGGTATGAAATTGAGGCCAACGTGGAAGTGAAATAAATTGCAGTTCCACCCTCATCCGCTGGGGGCTGGTGTCAGAAGCGAGCAAATCCTCATTGACTCCCATGTTAAAAATACCAATTTCACAGCAGAAATAAACATGTTTACAGTCTGGTTCCAAAACATGTTTTTGGTTTAATTGATCTAGTTTACACTCATGACAACTCTGAGGGGGTGAATTTTTTGTCACTCTTCTGTTTAAGTGTATTAAAAGCCTAAAATTCTGTATAATTAATGAGCATCAGACCCATGGAAAGGCCTCAGTCTCGCCTGAAAACTGTTCTGCGATTTTTAGTCTCTGAAATTAGACCAGTAGTTGTAGCATTTATGTATTCTTTTTTCGATATTTTTTGTGCAATTGTTGGACAAAATTACTTGCTATGGTATTAATTGCACTAATAGAGCATCCAAGGAGTCTCCACTTCATTTTTTCGGTAAGTACAATTATATTCATGTACTTTAGGTCACTGCCGCTTTTGCACTAGAGGTGGAAAGTAACGAATTACATTTACTCACGTTACTGTAATTGAGTAGCTTTTTTGTGTAGTTATACTTTTTAAGTCGTTTTTAAAATCTGTACTTTTACTTTTACTTGAGTACATTTTTAAAAAAGAGTTGTAATTCTTTACATTTTAAATCATATCCATTACTGAGTAAAAATAAATGTAGGCTTAATTAATTAAAAATATTACGTGTAGCAGCATTGGAACAGAAAGAGACTCCTGCATGAGCGCCGCGTCTAAACCGTGGGGGTGGGGGGGTAGGGGGGGGGTGGGTACATAAACAGCCATTTTTAACGCAGTTTTGCTCAAAAACATCAGTTCAGTCCCTGTGATCCACTTGCTGTTTACCTCCTCTCTCCCTCCTCTCCTGTGGGTTGGAACCCGCACCTTCGCGCACCGGTGTGACGTCATCAGAATTCTGCTCAGTTCGGTAGCCGGACTCGGTTTTGTGTTTGAAATGTGTTTCCCTACCGCTCCGCACAGAAGCGGCAAAGTAACGTTCAGCGCTCATAACAAGCGGATTCTCAGCGCTTTGCTCATAAAACAGAAGACCTGCAGGCCTCTGTGAGTTAAAACATCCTGATACTGTTCAGGTGTAAACATTGTGCTTCATCCTTGTGTTTGAACTCAGAAGTTGCTTCTTGAGGCCACAGATATGTGATGATTTAGCTTGTTTCTTTATTTTACTCCAGGATAAGAGATTAAATTATTACTAAAGCAGTTCAGTGTAGTTAAATTAGTCATTCACGTGATAACATGCTGCTGTGTGTGTGTGTGTGTGTGTGTGTGTATGTGCGTGCGTGCGTGTGTGTGTGTGTGTGTGTGTGTGTCACATATAGGACTGCATGGTTTCATCAAATCCATGCATCCTATATCTTGGCTGAAGTAATGGCTCAGGAAAATAACTTATATTTCATAAATAATGACGTCTCTGCAGTGTTTATGATAATATTTTATCTTATATTGTACCTATCTTTGGTCTGGGAGGTGTAACATATCATGATACAAGCCTTTTAAAACAAGTTAAAGTGTTACTAGAGGAGATTAACGCATGAATTTAAAGTTCATGTTTGGAGACCAACCTTCACAGTTTGGAGGCTCACGCTGGTGAGGGGACACCATTAGTTCTAGTAACACCTGGGCTCCCAAGGCCTGTTCTGACAGGATGGACGTTACGGGACCCTTAAGGATTCCAGCTGGATGATTGGAGGATTATTTAGGAGGACTGGAATGAACAAACTGTTTTCAGTGGTGAAGGGTTAAAGGTATTGACTTGGCATTAAAATTGTAGAAATGCAAAATAACTACACTTTACCATCTATATAAACATGTACTGGGTTGAGTTTTTTATTTTGTTAAGGACTTTTGTCATAAATCATTACAGAAAATCCAAATCCTCTCCTCCAGACAGTGAAGAACTGTGTTTCGCGTACGTCACGCCAGCGCGTAAAACAAGGTAGCTGCTGATGCTAGTATTGTGAATCACTGTTATTTGTTTACTTTCATACTCCTAATTATTATGTAAAATTGCATTTACAGCTGCAGCAAAAGGTCTGAGCCATGTGTCCGTGTCCTACACGCATTTGTAAATAACAGGTCTGATCTAAAATAATAATCTACATCTATAAATCCGTCTAGAACCGCACCGCTACTTCTGGACTCCAGACGAGTCCCCTTAGCATGACTGCAGCAACACTAACCGTGTTAGCTCCGGTAAGGAAAGAACAAGTCCTTTGGGAAAGCTACGGCACACTCACACACTCACACACACACACACACACACACACACACACACACACACACACACACACACACACACACACACACACACACACACACACACACACACACACACACACACACACACACACACAGATATAATCTAAAAGATGATCTCTATATTTCAACACTAGAAACCTCCATGACATCCTGGATTAGTGCAAACAACGAGTTGAGCTAAGGAGTTACTCCAGCATCAGGAAGATTTATTCTGGTAAATTGTCGATTAAATATTTTCCAGAGTTATGTCAATAAATACACACAGCAGTAAAACTTTAGATTACTGAACTATATTGGGGCACATGATGGAGCTAAGACCAGCTGAAAACTTGTCAGCTTAGAGCTACCAATGGAGCACAGAAATGAAATATTTAAGAAAGTAAACAAACTGTACCGATTTTGGTTCTGAAGATGAGCAGAATCCTCCTCTATGTCCAAATCAGGTCACAGGTCTTCTGAGTCAAACGGTCTAAAACATGTCTGCACCTCTGGTAGTGATATCCAGCTGGCGGGGTCGGAGTTCGATTGAACTTCTCCGGTAATCCAATGTCCGTCCTCGTCGCCGTATCCCAGAGAAAAAACAAATGTGACTGACTAGCAGAGGTTTCAGAAGCTACATCTGATTGATGACACATTGTTCTCTGCTATAACGCTAACGCAGAAACACCGGAGTCAGGCGTTGTTTACTACAGCTGTTTCAGCAGAGCTCCTTGTGAAACGTCACCAGCTGCCCAGGGCTCCTTAGACCGGAAGTTAGTTTCTGTTTTTCCCGCGCCAGTCACAAACATCAGATTTTCTTACAATTCCAGCCGTGAAAATCCAAAAAACCTTTTTCATCTAAGGTTTTAATAAACATTTACACATGCTGTTCAAACGAATTTTGCCTCTGGCCGAAATCTTTAAATGAGTGAGTGAACCCACTACCAAAGATGAACTCTGCTAACTTTAAAGGGGCATTATGGAAGTTTGACAGCCAAAACATGTATAGAAATAATAAATTTCTTCTTCATACATTCTCCTGCATCGCCTTGGTCCTGTAGAATGAGCCCTGGCATTTTTACTGTGATTACCTTTTTTTCTGTAAAATCACAGAAAAAGAGAGTTGCTCGGGTCGAGCAGGCTGCTTCATTCGCGTTCACGCTCAGGCATCGCCCGTAGCATTTGCTATCCGTAGATTTAGCAGCAGAGAGAGGTAGTGCCAACTCAGCGACTTTGTCGCTGTTCCTAACGCCTAGTGACAAACCTAGCTACATTTTTGAGGACCCTTAGCTACTTTCTGTAGAACTTTCTTCAAGATATTTCCTGCAAATTAGCAACAAAATAGCCATTTCCGCTTCGAACTGTTCTTTGGTTTGACGTTGTTTCAGGTGTCATCAAGGATATAAAAGTTACAGATACTGTGAATGTTACTAAAGTGTAGCTCATCTTGTAAGATGTCTGACTCTCATGCAGAAGACCTGGGTTTGATTCTGGGTGTGAACATAGTTCATTTAGAGTTTTGTTTTTTACATTAATGGTATATGTTTTTACAGTAAGATGCCCAAATTTTTGAGACTCGCCGAACGGCATTGAATTCACAGATAAAAAAAGATGTGGGTTCAACTTTCATTTTGGAACAAATTTTCAAGCAAGGGAAGGGAATGAACTGAGCATGCAGGAGGACTGACCCATCTTAAACCTTTGTCGGCTGTGCTGAAGAGAAAGGTACAGAACCAAATTATTTAATTAATTAGCTGCACGTTTTCATGTCCTCTGTCCTCCGTGCCACACACACACACGGGACTGTCTCAGCTGTTATTTTCGTTAAGGAGTGTGCACGTACAGCATGCGCGCCTCGTGCACGAGCCTACTATTGAAGCTGCCATTACGCTTTTGGCCTGAGGGGGCAATCGCGAGCATAAAAAATTCAAAAGTCCGTAAAGTCCCTTTAAAAATCAGCTGCTCTAAATAAGCATGAAGGTCAGAGAGGACCTCTAGGACGGACATGGATAAAGGAACTGTAATGTAGAGGTAAAGTTGGGCAGGGCCAATGTTAGCAGCTGTCATTTGGTCCATCTGAAATGTTTGACTTTCATTTAGCTTGTTATGCTATGTTAGAGCACAGTCTCATGTTAAAGTTTTGTCTTAATGACATTGAGATACCTCACATACTGATGGCATCCAAAAATGAACTTTGTTTTTCAAAATAAAGAATAATTTTAATCACAATTGAAACGTGCAATCCTAGAAAAAACTCGTCCAATCATTGTGCACGTCCTGTTCTCACTGATTGGATAGAAATCCTTCCATCTAACTGTGTGTGTGTCCGTGTGTGTGCGTGCACACACGAGTGTGTTGTGAACTGGTGTTGTGGTTTTTCACTGATGTAACCATCTTTACGCTGACAAAAATGTAACTAAGTAACTTTTACTTTGAGTACATTTTATTTACGATACTTTTTACTTTTACTTGAGTAAAAATTCAGGCAAGTACTTTTACTTGTACTTGAGTAAAAAATTATCAAAGTACTGGTACTCGTATTTAAGTAGGAAATTTTAGTACTCTTTCCACCTCTTACTTCCCCACCTGATTTACCATGCCCAGGGAAACTCCTGAGTTCTCCTACGGTAGCAAGTGCTTTCATCTCCGTGATGGACTCTGTCTTCCTTGGGTCTGGACTTATGCCGGAATCTGTGATGACATGGCCCAAGCAGTGGACGCATTTTCCCACATTCAGTGTAATGCCTGCCTCTTCCAGTCTCTTTAATGTTGCATGAAGT